CTGCTATGTTCCAGTGAAGGCTATAGACAGCCAGTTTAATTACAGGTTGTGAGACATTCTATCTTAGATCTCAGAGTTAACAACGCATCTGCAGCTTTCCGTGGCCCGCAGAAGCCACTTACTGTACGTACTATTCCACTGCACTTACCGTGTGTTACCTCAGTTTAATAAAAAAAGTATAATAATTTATGAAATATAGCTGAAATATCACTCAACATCTATAAAAGGAAGAAATACGTTTATAAAATAAAATAAAAACATACTTTCAAAAGCGATTACAATTTTTTTTTAATATTAAGAATTCATATTTTTATGTATATTCGATTAAAATTTTAACTTTTTGAAACAACCGCAAACAATTTAAATAGAGCAATGATCTTGGCTAGCAGCGACGAAGTACACCAAAATAGCACTATATCGGTATTACAATCTTGCTCCTATGGCTAATAAGTAATTTTATTTTAACTGCCTTAATTATTCATCCCCTTTACTATTGGTACACCAATTTTCGACTGGTCTTTTGTTGTCGAAATTCCATTAATTCGAACCGTAAGATTTCCTACGTTTTTCCTAAAGCGTAACAAAGGAGTGGAACAATTTTCCGGCGTCTGCCATTCCATACGATTACAATCTGGGAGTCTACGAGGTAAGAGTGAATTTATAAATTATTTATGTCCTAATATTGTTGGTGACGTGGACCGGAAAATACTTTTTATAAGTAGTTTAGCATTCTACGACTCATCTTCTCGTCAGGCATACTTTAAAAACTTCAAAACAAAATTGTACAATCAGTGCTGTCTGTGTCTACAATCTGTGATGACGGTAAAAAAATCACTTAGTATGAATGAAAATGATGTGTCTGGCTGTAATATTAAAATAATTGGCTTATATTAAGTTCAGGCGGTTACTTGCATGTTAATAAGACATAAATAACCAATATTTAAAATGTTTGTCTGTCTGCGTTTCTTTTTCTTTTGGAAAAGATTGAGAGCAACGGCAGGAGAGATTTGACTACATTTAATAAAAAACGATAAATTGATAAAATATATGGACTCAATATCTTAAATATAAATAACGCCACATTAATAAATACCATCCATACAAAACCGGGCTGGGTTGCTAGTATACAATATAATATATTTTATGATGTATTATGAATTAGTATATTATTTACCGTGCTTCTTTGGCCTCCCCCATAGATTGCCTTATATATTTTTTTATTTTTTTTAGAGAAACTGTACCTCCACACTAGGATTTCCTCCTGTATCGTGGGGGCAGTTTACAAACACAAATTTCACAAGGACAAACATCCAGACCCGGAACAATTACTTGTAGGCCATACATACACTTGTTCCGTGCGGGATTCGAACCCGTAGCCCTTAGCTCTGTAACTCATAGCTAAATATATGGGAGATATTTGTCATAATTTTCACGCTTGACAAGCGGTTTGCTAACCGCAGTATGTTATTTCTATTTATATTATAATTGCATATTACCTTATCTAGATGCGGCTGTCTGTCTACCCGCTGGTTCAGTTTCTCTTTGTAGTCTCTTACATCCTCGAGATGTAATAGAATAGTTGACATTATTACACTCCACGTTTGTGATATTATATATTATGTGTAAATTCTACATAAGAATAAAATATCAATCTATCGTAGAAATCAATTCTTAATTTCATCTCTAATTATCGAATTCTAGCGATGCGCTATTTTTAACCGAGTTCCAGTGTTATATATTCAACGCTTATTTTTTTAATGTATATTCACCGATCTTTTGAAAACAGCTAAACAAATTCTTACTAAATATAAATTTAAAGAAATAGTTCCATCCATAATGGTAGAAAATAAGGGATGGAATTTTAGTGTCACTATTAAGGCGACATTTAATTGTCACAAATATAAAGACAACTCTCGGAGACTTATATTCTCAGTGAGATGCTCCTGATATATAAGAAGATTTTTTAAATTTTTCGGATCAAAAAAATTATCTGGGTCTACAGTATTACTTCATGACAGTCTATGGTAAATTCTCAGTTCAATGTGGTTTGTGTATAATAAGAGGACGTATTAATTAATTTTAACATTACTGTAGGAAACTATATTAATGCATATTATTTGTACCTGGCGTTAACCATTAAAGGAAAATTTCGAATTCAAGAAATTCGCCTTCAAGGAAAAATTGAACTTAGACAGTATTAATTCCATTAAGATATGTTGTATTAGATACTAAATTAAGGAAACGGTATTTGATCTAGATTAAGCCGTAAATTTTTCCTATTGCTTGTTACCTTGATCTTGTGATGTTACTCAGTCTAATCATAAGTGTAAAACAATTAACTTACGAAAAATAAAGAACAAAATTATTATATTATTTTTGTTTTTAAGTCGGTTTTACTTTTTAAAGTTTAATAATGATTGATATGAGTTGAATGATGGTTGATCAAATGATTTTTCATTAATTCCATTTATGACGGCTACCGTGTAGTGACGGTGTAAGGAAATAGATCAAATAACAACCCTTAATACCTTAAAGTAATCTTAGTTTACAATAATTTACATCAGTCTGGCATAACGCCAACGACTTTCGGGCACTGGTTCCTTATGTGAGGTTTAGTCTGGTACAAGTTCTATTTCAGATAAGAAAAAAAAATTCAAATATCTTTTCATTTTCTTATGCCATTTTTGAGTTGAACCTTACGATAAACTGAGAAATAAATAAAAAATACGTGTGGCACTCGATGACTGCCGCGGTAAAGCTATTGCATAGCATTTTTTATCAACTTATGCAATTATAATTATTTATTTATTTTATTTATGCAGTTAAGTCTTTGATATTAAATCAAGTTACACTTTTTGAGCGTGGTGACCGATAAGAAAACAATTTTTTTTTGTTTAAAATATTTTTAATATCTTACAATACATGTAGGTTATTCAGGAATTTTTATCATTGAGTTAGCAGCTAGTGTACACGCACACAAACACCGTGCCGAAGTCTGCCGAGTGCCGAAGTCTGCTGAACTAAAACGACGTTAGACGATGCACGGTTTTCAACGCCACACCTCCGTGCCCGTCGGAGTGGGGAGCGTGAGGTTTTTTTTCGTTACGGAATTTCTAGATTCGGTCCCCGCGCCCAAGGTCCGCGATAGAAGCTATGCAATAGCTTAATAAATTTGATATCTTAGGCACTAGTTACTTGTCGTTGCTTAACTACTATCCCACCTGATAATAAGTTATGATGCATATAGCTCACTGAAATAATATATCAAAACCCTTTCGTTACTCTTACCTTGAAGACAATTACATTAAAATTCTAAGATCGAATGAAATAAACATACCATATAGTGGCAAATTATATCACTTCTTTGCTGTACTCATTAAGAATGACAAAAAACGCCGTTTGGTTTGATCATATGTCGACAACTAAAGGATAATGGCTAGGCGCTAGTATTTCAATAGTGGAAAAGAAAGAGAGAACATAAAATATATAACAGAAGTCATTAGTATAAATCATCTGCCAAATTATAAAACAATTTCGTACTAATAAATGCCACGACTCATCACGATATGCCCGTTTCTACGTACGACGGACAATGACATACGAGGCACATTACAATTTTCCTTCGGCTTCAAAAGTAAGCAGGCATTTGCGAAAAGACAATGCAGTTTGCACAGCGACGAATCATTCAATCTACCGATGGCACATTCTACAGTAATTTTTGTGCCCGATCTCAAAAAGTTATAATGAATTATATTTATTACGTCACAAGTAGCTTGTTTTTATGCAATTTGTGCTTGGAGCAAAGCTCGGATACCTCCTTCGGAATAACTAAGTTACGACGAACGCTTTTTATTACTTTTTCTAGATTTTCTTTAATGAAAATAAAAAAAATATTGTGTGTCGTTATTACGGCATTGGAACCATGAAAATAACTCATTTTTTTAAATAATTTATTTCTTTAATTTACTTAGTGATAGGACTCTTTTCCTTCCTAGGGATCCGTATAGAAAGATATCTCCCTCTTACTTACATCTTCCACAAATTAGCAGTATCTAATGTGTTTCCGTTGGAAGGATATAGAGAACCATTATAATTACAAGCAGTGATGCAAGTCATACAAATTTAAGTTAAACTAGACCGCACTTAAAACAGAAATTCCATAGATAAGATTCAAGACCTTATAAAAATATCTTTTGAATATATTTTATGTATATAAAATAATACATAAAAGATTCACTCTTATTGAACTATTTTTTGTATTATTTTTGTAACCTATTTTAAGGTAGTGCATGACTACAATCTAAACTGAAGTTATTATGAAGAAGAATATTGATGAAGTCCTAGTTAGTAAATTAAGTGTAATAAATTAAATTCAGCCTTGTTTAAAAGTCACTCAAATTGTAATTGGACGGAAAGACAGACGAAAATAAAATATAAGTGTATGTAATATGAAATAATACGCATGTTACAACCCAATTTATTAAGGTAGTATTATTTGTTAAGCAATGTGAATATTACTCATGTAGTCTGGGAGGACATAGGATAAATAAATTCTGAAACAAAGTGAGCTACTGCTCTTATAAATATTCTTTAGAAACTATTTGTAAATTGTGAGATACTGAAACCAACTGTAGTAATTCATTAATATTTCTATAAATATTACTATAAACATTTAAATAACGACTGCAATTCAAAAATTACGAGCTGGTAATAAATATTCCCATATTGCGTAGTTACTGTGTAAAAATATGAACTACTTACCTCGTGTCGTCTCGTGAGTATCGTGAGAGGCGATAGATAGGAAAAAAACCAACCATCAGCATCTTCTTAAAAAAAAAACGTTAATGTTAATGACGTTGTAGCTCAGGGGCTAAGCGTTGGCTGTTAATTTCACAGTATGCGAGCAACGCGAGTCACTCGTGTCAGTCACTCGCGAGCTCTCGCACAGCGTAGTCTAACTGTGTACGGATAAATTTATCTTCAATATTAAATAAGTAAGAATGTCTAAATGCGACAATTGTGGTAAGTCCATAACAAAAACGTCACCTAGGTTTGAGTGCAACAATTGTGGAAAAATAGTACACGCCAATCAATTATGCACAGGCTTATCTTCGAAGCAGCTATCAGCTCTACACAATGCTGAAAACCTGGAGTGGATATGTGAGGATTGTCGTAAAGAATCGCCTCATCGTAAGTCTTTCATAGTTCCGGAGAACGATGGCGATGATGATGGCAGGGACGGTAAAGAAGGTGTGATACAGGTAGTATTGCAACAAGAGGAGCAGGTCGACCAGTGGATCTGCGCTGCACGAACGGAAACAATTGCTTTGGAAGATATAACTCCAAATGCCCCTAATCCTGAAGTAGCTAAGAGAACAGTGTTACTTCGGCGTGCACTAATAAAAGCAAATAAAACACTTCTGTGGAAATCTAAACAGACCTTGAAGGAAACTTACAAATATATTTGGTTCCAGGGTGGTAAAGTTTTGGCTCGTAAATTTGATAATGACAAGCCCGTTATGATAAGAAGCTCATGTGATATTGATAAGTTGTCTACTCAAAAATATCGATAGCAGTTTTGCACAACGCAACAGTTCCTTCACAGGAAATACAAGAATTGTTTGACTGTGCTAACATAAACGAGTTTAGTAAACATCTACCACATAATGTACAACAACTAAATATTGTCCACATAAATTTGCGATCAATAGTTAAAAAATTTTGTCTGTTTTTACAATTCATTCATTCGTCTAAAATTGATGTCGATGTTATTATATTAACAGAGGTAGGAAATTTCCAAAAGCAGTAATCTTGTTCAATTATTTAATATTCATGGCTATGAAATGTACTATAAGCTTCGTGAACAGCAAAGAGGTGGTGGCATTGTTATGTATATAAAAAGTACCCACAAGTTTCAAATTCTAAATAATATATCACTAAACCATTGCGAATCTTTAATAGGTAAATTATCTACGTCACATCAATACACGGCACTTATTTGTTCATTGTATAGACCACTCAAAGAAAGCAAACACGTATTTATCAAAGAATTGAAAAAACTGTTGTGTAAGGACGTTTTTAAATGCTGGGATTTATACTTACTGGGTGATATAAATATCGACTTAAAGTCGCATGATAACATACGAGAATACCATATAAGTTGCATGGCCGAATGTGGACTAGCGAGTGCAATATCAGATTATACTAGAATCGAAAACCGAAAAGATATTATTACGCGGAGTTGCATTGATCATATTTTTGCAAGAACGCGCTCGCTAGACCTTTATTCGGCCGCACTCGGTACTGTAATGGCAGACCATCATATGGTTGTGTTGTCGTGCGTAGGAAGCGGAGTTGCAAACATTATAGGGGGTGGTGCAAATGTTAAACAACTAATTGATTATAATATATTAAAACTTAAGTTAAATGAAATTGACTGGAATGTTGTCGATAAGATGTTATGTTCGATAGAGATTTATAATTATATTAAAAATTAATTCAAAATGTGTTACGAACTATCCAAATATACACAAAAAATAAATTTAAATAGCAAAAGAAACAAAGAATTATGGATAAATAATAAAATTAACAACATGTGCCGAAAAAGAGATTTACTTTTTAATCAGTGAAAAAAGGATAAAAATAATTATATTCTTAGATTAGAATTTAACAAACAGCGAAACAAAACTCAAAAATTAATTGAAAAATCTAGAAACAAATATTTTAATTATTTAACTAATAATAATAAAATGAATAAAAAGAAAATGTGGGATACATTAAATACGCTTACTGGTAGAGTTGTAGCAGTAGATGAAGCTGTAACCAAAGCATTCAAAAAAAAAAACAATCTAACCTTAAAAAATATAGCCAACAATTTTGCTACAGAATTCTGTGAAAACGTCAAGAAAATTTTGCCTAGATGCAGCAAAAAACTTATGTCAGAATCGGAATAGATATTTTCTGAAAACAAATCTATGTTATTTAAAAAACCTGCTAAGCGCGATATACTAACTATTATAAAAAGTTTAAATGCAAATAAATCGGCTGGTAATGATGGAATCCGACGTTTTGACGTTAAGATGCTGAGTGACACGATTGCTAATATTGTATTTAAGCTGATAAACACTAGCATAGTAGTAGGAAAATATCCACAAGAATTGAAAACTGGCACCGTAAGACCAATTTATAAAAAGGGATCAATAGTGAGTATGATAGCTACAGGCCTATAACAATACTGTCAGTCATGGATAAGGTAGTTGAAAAATATGTGGCTCAGCGAATTCACAATTTTTATACTAGAAACGATATATTATCAAATGCTCAATACGGCTTTCAATCTAAGAAATCCACTACTATATTGCTGTCTAAATTCACGGACGAAATAAACCAACACCTGAATGATAAAAAACATGTCATATTATTATTCATTGACATTAGTAAGGCATTTGATACTCTTAGGCACGACATTATTCTAAAAAAACTTGACAATACAGGTATCCGCGGGCCATTATTACAATGGTGCCAAGATTATCTCAACGATAGAAAATACCGGGTTAAGATCGGCAATGATTTCAGTGACGATATATTTGTAACTACTGGAACATCACAAGGCTCCGTGCTCGGACCATTGCATTATCTAGCATACGTGATTGATATGCAATAAAACATTGTTCCATTTATCAATACGCGGACGATACATGTCTTATAGCAGTCGATAAAGATCTATATAAGGCCGAACACCTTTTACAAATCGACTTCAATAACTTATGTAAATGGTCTCATGATGTTGGTTTAGTACTGAATGCTAGTAAAACTAAAATTATTCATATTCGATCTAACTACCTACGCAATTTTGATAAGAAAATCGAAGTAATTGCGCATAGTCATCAGTGCTTGCATGATTTTCAAACAAATAGGACCGGGTGCAAATGTGAATTGTTAGAGCAGGTTCCCCGTTACAAATATTAAGGACTAGTAGTCGATAACAGATTTAACTGGGGGTTATCACATTGACACAATATGTGAAAAACTGAGAGCAATGCTAGCCAAATTTGCTATCTTGAAATACAAAGTAGCATTTAAAATATTACTAAATTTATATAGTGCACTCACAGAGTCAATCATTTCATATGGGATCACTAGCTATGGTAGGATGTTTAAAACATATTTGGATAAAATATACAGCCTACAACTTCGGTTTTTAAAAATAATAATACCTTATAAAATTAAAAAATCAATCTGCTTCGGAGATAATGTATTAGCTTTATTTAAATATTGTGAGATATTGCCTGTTCATATAAAAATAAAAATGTGGCTATTAATTGAACAATTTACGAACAAAGAAATACAAATAATAGTGAAACATAAAACAACGACACGGAAAGTAACTCAATCAAAACTGGAATTACCAAGAGTTAGAAATTATTACGGAAAACAAACGAACGCGTATTTAATACCAACCCTCGTTAATGATATACCTACTAAAATCAGATTAGGAATAATGGACAAAACTATAAAAATAAATATAAGCAATACTTTAATTCTTTACTTTAATAACAAGTTGTCTAATTTTAATGAAATCAAATCTAACATAATATCATATCGATAATCGAACATCCTGTCTATAACACACTCAAGTAGCATCAGCCAGCTGTCCGCCAGCCGCGCCGAGCTGCTTATCTATAACCGGTTCCTTTATGTCCACTTGTATGCAAACAATTACCTATACTTCATACCGTTAATACTATATTTGATGTTCTTATTAAATAATAATACGTATAAACTAATGTCAACAGATTGCTCAAAAGTGTCTCAACATCCAGACAAACCCGTAAGGGTTTTTGTGATGTTTAAATTGTGACTTTATGTATTTTTTCTTATATTAAATAAATTCAAAAAAAAAACGCAGGTTCAATTCTCGCAGGTATCATTGAAGCTCTGATTTACCACATGTTCAGTGGTGCAGAAAAATATCACGAGGAAACCTGTGTATAAAGGAATAACAAATTTCGAGGTCATAAGTATTCCATCTAAAAGTACTGGAGTAGCAAACTAATTTTATGACTAACTAATTTTTCCAAAAAATCCTCATTTAAAGGGAGGATGCCTGTATCCACCACTATGGCGTATTCAACCCAAAAACAAGGAATAAGTCAACGTTTTGTAGAACCAATGCCTGTTGCCAGTGCTTACTTTTGATCTGAGACGCGATCCCCTACTGTTGTTCGTATGAGGAAGCGTAAGCTCGCTCAGTGAGTTAGGGTGAGAGCTATGCTATGGCTAACTGATAAAGCTCATTGGATATAGCTGGGGTGGAAAAAGGCCTATCTTATAGCTCGAAGAACCGAAAACCGATGTCGCCTTGCAACCTTCCACCGGTAAGCAGAGTAGACCACGCGCTTGATGAAGTGACGACCTGGGAATTTACAGCCACAACGTTTATATACATATAAACGTTCCACAGCTAAGCACAGGCCATCGCCCTGCTCCATTGCGTGTTCGTAGACTTTATATTTCTTCGAAATATACAGGCTGTTAGTTTAAACACCGTTGTCCTTGAAACCAGTGGTTTGGTTTCACTTATAGAACGTAAATTCAATGAAAAATAACAACATTTTTTTAATAAAATCTCAATTTTTCCTTAATTTCTCAATTTTTGCATGTCCTTTCTGCAAGGATGGAAGTATGAAGGAAAAGTTAAATCACAGGTTATGTGTACCTATTGTGTTTTTTGTTGAATGTTTTGTAGGTAGCTAGCGCGGGCGGTGATCTTTACAGTGATTACGTCACTCGGGCGCATAGGGTATCCATAAATTTACGGACGGTGTCGGACATAAACTTTTTAAATTTTATGAAAGAAAATGGCGTTTTTTAAAAAAAAATATTACTTTTATGTTCAATAAGTGAAACTAGATCACTGGTTTCAAGTACAACGGTGTTTACACTAACCCCCTGTATATTTTTATTAAAACTACTTTTACGGATTTTATCGCGTTTTATTTAATTTTAATACCCGACGTTTCGTAAAATCCGTAAAAGTAGTTTTAATTAATGTATAGTGTTCGCGTAAATATAAAAAATCATTATATATATTTTGACTTAGTATAGGGGATAAGTCGCTCGCGTCCGTAGGATTTAACCACCTATTTCTAGGCCCACCCTACACGTGTCCCCCGGGTGGTGCTAAATGAGCGACAAGCCGATAGCACAGATTTGGCTCCACGCCGTGGTAGAGGCGTAAAATATACTACCCCTTATCCGCACCATGAGGAACCATGTAAAAGAAATGGCCCCGAGTTCCCAGCGCCCCTTTAATGGGGCAGGGGTGCGAAGAATCTCCGGGAGGAAAACCGGCGACGAGGTTCGCCACTCGTCACGTTCTGTCTCCCGGAGAGGCGAAAAGTGGATTGCAGAGGCCCGTCTGGCTACGTTGAATGTATGTGGGGCAATGAATGATAAAATGGATGAAGTATGCGATATAATGTTTGATAGAGGAATAGATGTGTTATGTGTAAATGAGACGAAAAGGAAGGGGAAGGATGTCACTACACATGGCACGTATACCGCATACTGG